TCTCAGAAAACTGATTTCAACTGCTCTTTAAATTTATTTAACTATTTTAGTGAAACACTTGGCTTATTCGTTGTTATTATTCCCTCTTGTATTTTGATTATTTATAGTCTTTTAGCAACACCAGTTAGAACTACTGGTGAAACTTGATTTCCCTGGTGCTAAGTTCCATAACAATTTATGTCCTTTGAATGCTGACTTGCTAGAGCGTGTTATGATTTTGTTTTAGATTTTTCTTCTACTATAGGTCTTCAATACCTTCCGAGAAAAAGTAGCTACTAAAGAATTTGGCCCAAAAAAAAGGTGTGTTGATAATGTCTCCCTTTCTTCCTCTTCTTCCTCCCAGGTAACACATACTTCAATTACATGCATTACTTGTGTAATGCTTTTATAGAGTTTAGATTCTTAATGAGTATGCTTCTTATTGTAAAATTGTAGGGCTAAGCGAGCGTGTTTAGCGTTCCTAATTTGAGGACCCAAGTTCAGAGAAATAACAATTCCATTTGCTATCACTACAACAAAAAGTCATTTTAATGGCAATCATTTAGTGGCAATTAGTTAATTGTCACTAATTTATTATTGACGAAGGGATATTGCGATAAATGCAAATTAGCCAGGAGAAACTACCTTTTTGCTGGCAATTAAAAAGAATTGCCCCTAATAATCACTAATTGAAGTTAATGTTTTATCTTTCCCACCAATATTTTCCAATAAAATTCACATATTCCCTCCAAATGTAAATCACAAACTAAAGATAATTTCAGGAAAAGGTTTTTGAAAGGTCTTCCATCGTACTGCTCAGACGCCGCTGCCCAACTAATTGCTATCTCACCAAGGCCGACCACCATCCTTGGTTACCTAACTCATCACTCGGAGTATCTACCGTAAAAGAACATTCAGAGATGCAGCAAATAAATAAATAAAGAGGGTAAGCCACACATTAGTAAATTAAGAAAAAAATTGATTTTTGGTGGCCTCGAACTGAAAGAAAATCGAGGTCCGATCTCTCAGATCTGGTCTTCTGATAATTTTTATACTTTATTCATTCACTATCAGTGTAGATTCTATTCATTTCTTGTGATGGACTTCTTGCTCTCTTACTGTTCGTTATGGATTTTCTAAGTTCTATTCACCGTGCTTGATGGGATCTGATTTTACATGAGTGTGGTGAATTTCAGAGGTACTAGTAATGTAGTTTGAGATTCTTTTTTCCCTTTTTGGTATCTATTTTTCAGTTATTGATTTGTATTCATTGTTCCTTATGAATCTGGGATGCTTTAAAATGTAGAACAATAGTTAAGAAGAACACTTTGTGCTTATACATATGAAATTGACAAAGAATTCTCTAAACTTTTATGATGTAGAGCTCATTTACCTTTATATTGGGAAGGAAAGATAATAATGTCTTGGTCTCCGAGTCTCTATTGTTGCCTTTGGCCGTCCGATCCTCTGTTGAAACTAAAATTGAATTTTTCTATTTATTAACTGGTAACTTTTTCATGCATATATGGATATCTATAGTTTTTGTGTGCGCCTTTAATTCTCTAGTTTGAAGGGTCGCTAAGGAGAGTAATATTTTGTGGTGCGCCTATAAAACCCCATTTTGTTGTGATCACCAAATTGACTCTTAACACTTAAACAAACAGGATATACTAATTTCTACTAGACTTTGTTAGAATATTTGACTCAAGTTCTTGTTTGATTCTAATTGACAAAGGATAGGGACAGTTGATCACCTATCAGTCTATCTCTAAGGATTGGATCGAGGTTGTAGCTATTATGTAGAATACTTCTTATTTGTCTCTAAACGTGATACTTATTATCTATATATTTGTTAAATCATTGGGAATACGAAGCAGTCTGTTAAACGGACAATTTCAGCTGAAGAAACAATATCAATACCAGGCTCGTCAATGCATCTATAGCTGATTAAGGTGTTGGAATATATATATTGATAACATGATGTTTTTATGATTTGAATTGAGTCATGCAGTGATAGGTTTCTTAGCTCCTTTTCCTTCTTTAATACAGACATTGCTATATCTAGGCAAAATATATACTACATTAATGATATTTTTGCCTTTTCAGTTCTTGATGATTTGGTCTTCTTCTAACATGCTTTATGTAAGTAACTCTTTAATAGTGTTGTAGACCAACAAGAAGTCAAAGTTTATTGTTGTCCTAAAGAAGAAAATGATTTAATTGAAGATCTTATTGGTATTCAAGCCCGTGGTTGCTCTGCTTCTCCTCACCAACTTCAAGTTAGTTCACCCATTTATTTTCGTTCTTTTTTTTTGTTCTCTAAGATGGTAATATAATTGCTATGGTATTATAACAATAAGATACTACACTTATATTGTAATACTCTGAGATTAAGAAGCTCATGGATTAAAAAGTGGACTAAATAATTTGAAGTATTTATTGTTATAATGATTTCGAATTTCTTTCTAATAATAATAATCTTTTAATGATCATTATTAAGGAGATCGATAATAGAGTGTGGTTTAATACGGAGAATTCTAAACGGATCATAGATTACATGTCCTTGTTCCAGTCCTTATTGTATTAGTGTTGCCTCTATGTCATTAAAATAGTTGTGGTAAAAGAGGTTCATCTATTTCTTTGGTTGGATTCAGTATTAGTTCAAGTATTTTTTAGTCTCCCCAAGGTGAATTTACATGATGATGTATCAGTTTCTATATTTGTTTATATCCTTCAGACAACTTGGCATAAATATATGATTCTTTTGAGGGTATTTATCCTTATTTCTCTCCCTAAAGCAAGTCTCATGAGGTTCACAATACTTATTTTTATTAGAACATTTGCTTTTGAGCAGTTGGTTGTGAAGGTGTTTGTTTAAGATAGCAAAGTGCCAAAGCATATGGGTAGAAGTTACAGGGGTGCAAGGATTAAAATATTTTCTTTTAAGATATTTTTGTTACTTCATAATTTGTGAAACTTAATGCAGTATTGCTAAGCATATGTTGCTAAACATTGTCTTTTACAAAAGATTAACTAGAAGTATTTGAAGTTGGGAGCTACTTTGACAATAAATTTGTATGAGACTTACAATTTTTTTTTACATCAGATTTCATCTTTTGACATTCGCTCAGTTTTATTATTTCAGGTCATATAGTATGATGTTCGAAAGCTTAGCATGTAGGAAGACTTTATTGATGAAAGAGTTCACTAGTGTTTATGTCAGCTTTTATAGATTGAATTCGTCTTCCTACTTATTAATTCGTCTTCCTACTTATTAATTCGTGTACCAGTAACTTTCCTACCACTATTGTCTACCATATTTTTAAGGAAGCCACCTTTCCGCCACTAGTAGATAAAAATGTAAATTACATGCATATTTCATTTAGAATATACTTATTATTGATTCAAAAATAGTCAGTCAATATTTAATAGTTGAAACCCATTTTTGAAACTTCTTTTAAGATTAAGATACCATTGATAATTCCAATTGTGAACGACCTACGAGACAGAGCAATCATGTTCCATACAGTGATAATACATGACTACATTCAATAGCACTATAGGAATTTTTGGTAGCTGCAAGAGTTTGGTCTGCTTTTAGGCATAGAAAGTCCATGAACTTGTGTAGATTGGTATTAACAAATAGTTGATTCGCAGCTGTGATAACTTATCTTTCCACTACCCTGATTGTTGGTCTGATGGTGTTGTGCATTAGACAATTACTTCATGATATCTTTCATGAAGCAGTAAAGTTGCTTTTTCTACGTCATATGACTAACTAGGTATTACTATGAACCAATTTATACTTTAGAAGTCAAATTTCTTTAAGGAGTTCATGCTTTCCTTTTGGATAGACCTCATTGAAATAGTATGGAACTCAATTCTTGCTTTAGTAGATGTTTTCGTTCAAATTTGGTCTCTAATTATGATAAAGAGCTTATCTGTTTTCTTGCCTGAAGAAGTGGGTGATTTATTATCAGATTCTGCTAGGAATGAGTTACTTGTTATAGCTGCCACTAACTATTGTGGCGCTGCTGCAATTTTTATTGTCACTATGCCTTAGGCATCATAGCTATTGCCAAGTTCAGGATTATGTGATATCTCAAAGATCGCTAATATTACTGTAGTGTTATGAAGTGCTTAAATGGTTAAATGTATGCGTTGGGTGATAGAAGGCAAAAATAACTCCCTAGTTTTTTATTGAGATGGTAACATATAAATTACTCCTGCTAATTATTTCTCCATTATCACACAATATTTACTTGGGTTGGCATTTTAAAAGGCATTCTTTATGCTTCCCTAAGACAGGCATGCATGACTGAATACATCTTAGGAAAGTCATGTCTTTAAAAGGAACTTTAATGTATTGAAAATCTCTACGGACTCATTCGTTTAATCCCTGATTTTAATTTCAGGTCATACAGTCTGATGTTCGATAATTTAGCGGATGGAAGATTTCAGTATGACGAAGCGTTGCAGAAATTATTTGAAGATTGTAATTTGTTAAGATTAGTTATATAATGACATTAACTATTTAGTTCAAACAATTTAAGTTTATTTTTTAAGTTATTGTGATATTAATATTTTGGAAGTACTTCCTTTTGTTTGTTAAGATTTAACGAGATATATTACGGTTTGATAAATTAATATTGATATGTTTTGTTATTTGCACTATTTTTTGATCGAATGTAGTAGCAATTATTAATGGTGGCTAAAAGGGAATATTGTAGCCATTATATTACTATTAAAGATGACTTTTAGTGGCAATGTAATTGAATTTACAAGCTATTAAAATTGACGCTAAAAAAGCATAATAATACGTTTTTAGAAGATATATTGTTGCCACTCTAATTGCCACAAAACAATTACTGCTAAAAGTATGGACTTTTAGCGAAAAATATTTTAATTTTAGCGGCTATAAAAATGGACGTTATAAGAGCATTATTAGCCTTTTTTAAAGTGGGTTTAGCAGCTATCATAATTGCCGAAAATATTTGCCGTTAAAGAAATGTGATTTAGCGGCTTCAGCGGCTAAACATCAATTGCCGATAAATCATATAACGGCTATTGTTATTGCCGCTAATGCTATTTTTTATTGCTGCCAAAGGCCTTTTTTGTAGTAGTGTATACACAAATGGGCTACTTGGAATCCATTCTCCTTTGATCATTCCTACATAGGCATAAAGAGCAGGAAAGCAAGAAAGATTGAAAATTCTATCACGATAGCAATTTTGACTAAAGATATTGAACTGGTACTTGTGCATTTGTATTACTTCCTTTTTTTCATGAAAACCTTTTACTACATTGTATAGAGAAATTATTTTTGAAGCTTTTAGGGAGAACAACTTTTTGTTGTTAGAAGGCAAATTTGTGGTTATTGGCATCAAGTGTGTCATCCTACCCAAAGATAGAGCACTATGTTATGTTGGCAGCGGTTGAAGTCCACCATTATAACAGAAGTGAATTTATCTTTTTTTATGTCATGCCGGTTTTTACGTACGGTAAGAGTTGGTGTAAGAGGACTGATGCATCTTCTTACTACTGTATCTCATACCTAATTTTGAATTAATCTGTCTAATCCCTTTCGCCTGCAATAGTATTTGTAACATACTTTTATTGTCATTTTCAGTTGTTCATTGTGGAGCAATGTGTCAACAGGTTGCACGACAAAATATGTATTCCAAGTAATTGACTGCATTGGAGAAGAGAAGGATGTGTGAGCTCATCAAAACTCATAATTCTCAAAAAAATAATTATTTATATTAGATACAAGTACTCACTGGAATATTGAATTCAAAGATCAGTGGTCATACTTTACACTTTATCTGTATGAGTAGTTCTAATTAATTGAGTTATGTTAGTGTAAGATAGTAAGAAATGTTGGCCATCAGGACCTTACTAACTTATGATGTGATGCAATTTGTAATTTCTTCTATCTAATTTGTATTTCTATATCAGCTTGGATGTAATTATGGTATCGTAACGACGGACTTTGTGCAGTAATAAGCCATATGTTTCAAGATTATATTTTTCGCATTAAAGTCACAACGAAGCACTTAGTTCTTCCGGAGCTCCAGAGAGCTAGACATATCTATGGCACTTCTTAATATAAGGTATTGAAATTAGTTGTTTGTTGTCTGTGGTTTGTCAAAACAGTAATATAATGTAGGTCATTAACAAAAGAGTAGGCTTTTGTCTCTCAAAGAACTATTAGAACAGGTACGGTGTAGTGTGCCAGCCTTCAATTTCTCAAGCTAATAGACATGTACTGATTATATTCGTAATTGATTAAGGAATGCTTTAAAAAATATAGTTGTAAAAAAATCTGTTTTAACTTCTCAAAATTTTGTTTAATTTAGAAAATAATAGTTTGATATTACTTATGTTCGCGGCAAATTCACTAGTTTTTATATAAAGGAAGGGACAAACCTGTTGAATTTGATGTACGGAGAAGAATGAAGTTTTCTGTTGCAAAAAAACTGATAAATCGCTGCTCTTGCCAGAGGCAGACTAGCGGAAAGAATTGGGAAAGACTTCTAATTTAGGGCTTTTAGTAATATTAAAAAGTTTACTTTTAAATTCAATGTTTTTAATTCCTTTTTAAAAAGATGTGTTTTGGGTTAACGCCTCAACCAAAAAAACTCGCCTCAACCACAAAATTCGCCCAGACATACGCTCCAAACTTATGGGGGTACGCCTTACGGGACTTTCGCCCCCCACCATCGTCTCGGGACGTTTTTGGTACGCCTCACCCCGGGCTCGCCCCAGAAACACTTTTTAAAACACTAATTTCATGTTAAGTGAAATATCAAAAGATAAATCAGTGTCGGCTCTATGGCGAAGCAAGTAAGGCACTTGCTTTATCCCCAAATTTGGAGGGGGCCCATTTTTTAACAATAATAGAATTATGACTTCTTTAAAAAAAAGATAGAGTACTTTTAGTAGAAAAGTAAATTTGAGAAAGATAATTTTATTAAATTTAAATAATCAATGTCAGAAGGATTATTATGGGATGTATGAATAGTTGTAAATTATTACACTCTCTTTCTTATTTATTTTACGTCATAATCTTGCTTTTCCTTCTCGCATAAGATTGTATACTTTCTCTTTAATTTCCTTATTACTTTCTTTCTCCGAGAGTATAAAAGTGCAACAGTTCAACAGTTTTACTGGTAAAAATTTGAGATAATTAGATGACGAGAACTTAAAAATATATAGTTACTCCAGTATTGATGGTTTAGACTTACTTTTTAAATTAAAAATATTTTAAAAGATAGTTTAAGTAGAAAATATTACTCTAATCGACACATTCAATCAAATAAAAAAACTTAATTCTTTTTCAAATGCATTTATTTTTTATAAAATAATATTAACATTTCCTATAACAGTTGCCAAATAGAAATAAGTTCTTCAAAATTAAAATTAATAAAATCTTATCTAAAATGAACAATTCTCAAGAAAGATTAAATGAGTTAGCGATATTGTCATTCAAAAACAAAATTATTAGAAGAAATCGATAATAAGAAAATTATTTACAATTTTATATCTCAAAAGGCAAGAAAAAAAAGATTTTTTGGGAAAGATATTTTTTACTTTCTAAATTTAAGGCCCCCAAATAAATTTTGGCCTTAGGCCACTAAAAATGCTTGAGCCACCCCGGATGAAATGGGGCATTAACAAGGTTTATGTCCTCATCCTTCAAATGTATCCCTTCTAAGTAGCAATAAAATTGTGACTTTTTATCTTAAAAAATTTAAAAGAATAAAATAAGGATGAAATGAAAGTTTTGGAGAAACAATAGGGATAGATATTGTTTAAGAACTCTTCAAAATATTACAAGCCTACTTTTACAAGCCTACTTTTAGCTGCTGACACTCAGGTCAGGTCAGGAATATTGAAGGCAAAAGGGCTAGCTTTGTATCACTGCAACTATTAAAATGAAGATATGACACCATTGCTCTTAAATACAAAGCATAATACTTGACTACAGCTGAAAATAAAAAATTCATTACTCATAGCAGTTAGTATATAAAGTTGGACAAGAAACAAATAGGTAAAAAATGGGGTTTCAATCGAAATGGCTCATATCGCTTGTGAATACATATCGAAAGCAAAAATGGAAAGCAATAGATAAACTTGTCAAAATAAGTTAGTACATGATATCCAGCGACAACAACAAAAACAAACTCAGTATAATCCCACAAGTAGAATTTTGGAAAGGGTAGTGTATACGCAAACATTACCCCTACCTCAAGAGTAGAGAGGTTGTTTCCGATAGACCCTTGGCCCAAGGAAAGATGTTACATGATTTCCGCAAAAAATAAAAAGGTTCTCATTCATACATAAACAAATACTAAGTAAGTAATTTAGGAGAGATCAAGCTTTCTGTATACGCAAATCCTTCTTGATAGGTATCATAACGTTGAGGCGATAATCCAAATGGTCCTGTGGATGTCCTAAATACCGTACCATACTGTAGCGGACGTCCACAAGACAGTAAAACTTCACCATTCACAAACATGTATTTCGGTCGGATTGAAGAAAGACCAGTTTCTTTTATTGTAAGCAATTCAGTCCAAGATTCCTTGACACCATAATCTTTCATGACCCATAACTTAAAAGTACACCCCCCCTGATGAATATGAGTAGAATGAAAGCAAATCATTCCTCCCAATTCTGAAATGCCAAGCTGGTCGGTCCCGGAGTTGGATACATAGCACATTCGCTCTAGCACGGGAATCTCTCCGTACACCTCATTTGAAACAGTAAATGACACCACATAACAACCATAAGATGACCGAGTCATATATTGGTACGCACTAAGCCAATGGAATGCACCGTGTACAAATGCCAAAGGATACATAACAGGGTCCCAAAGTGACGACATAACGATTCTCCCATCTGGATGCTTACCAATATTTCTCCAAGAACCACTTTTCAACTCAAGAATTTCATAGGGCATTATGGACTTATCGAGTACATTCCCATCAATCTTAAGGATCTTATAGTCATCACTAGTAACGTCATATCCGATTCCGTAAGTAGAACATCTATTCAAATACTCTGGACGGGGAAGTACTCTTGATTCTCTTGTGGAGGGGTTCCACAGCAAAAAGTGCTCATAAGATCCATCATAAACACCAAGAAAAAACAGCCCATTGCAACAACAATACATTCTGCAACCCGATGGTTTGAAGTTTAAAGGGCAATCAAGTTTTTGTTCATCCTCAACCAGTTGAGCCGACGATAAAGAACAACAAAAGGTATACATATCATGTTTATAAGGCGAATCTTGGCTAAGAAGAAGTTTTTGGGAATTTGGGTCATTCTTGGCATGACTGAGATGCTTCATCTTAAAGTAAGGATCGGATATTAATGTCTTCAAAAATTTTGAAACACATTTTAATTGAACAAGAGACTGCACGGGTAACCTGCTGAGAATGTTCATAAAAATTTCCTCTTCAAAGTGAATTTCCAGGGCCTAGATAGGAAAGGAAAAGTAATCAGATCTTTTTTTCAACTACACATAAATAAGACAATTTCAACCAAGAGTTCAGAAAAGATAAACCTGGAAATTTCTTAATTTCTTCAGTCTAGTATTTACTACTAACAAATAATAAAGAAGAAAATAGCTAGCCATATTATCTTCACGGAAAAACGTTATCTTTAATGTTTTTAAGCATAACCTGGAGAAATGTCTAATCAATCTAAGTCCAACCAATAACAAATTAAACCCAATTGTATGTAAGCAAGTAAAACCAGCTTGAAATCAGAACTCACCTTATCAACATCCGTCTGCTCTGTATTATTATCCAACACACTCTTCCCTGCAATTTCATTTTAGGAAAAAATTATAGTTGAAATAGTGCAGGTGCATTAAAAACACACACACACACAGCAGCAGCCGAAGAAACAGATACCTTTGCAAATCGGATTGGGAAGCACTGATTTCTCATTAAACTTTTGTCTTTTGCTAATAATTTGATTGAAAAGATTATCCTTTATTGTCATTGCAACAGATTTCTTCCTCTTCTTCTGTTGACTTTTCAAATTTTGTATATTTGGAGCAAAACTATTTGCTAATTTTGCCTCATTGGGATTGGACTTCTTCTTCTTCTTCTTCATTTGTTTCATCTTCAGTTTCATTGAAAGATTCTGACTTTTTTGTGGCGCTTCAATTTGAATGCTAGGGCTTCTCTTTACAATCATAGTTAGGGTTCTTTATATTTCTGAATCGGGTCGGTAATGGCTGTCGGGGCCCGGTTCTACCCATTTTGACCTTTCCCATTGTTTAGCTTTAGCATGGAAGTCCATATTCTCCTAGACTCATCTATGCACCTTTTTCGTATCTTTTTAAGTATACTAGTAAACGTTGCCCGTGCTGCGCACGGGCCCAATAAATGTATGCTAAATACTATAGAAAAATTACCAGTTATGTCCATTTATAAGTAGCTTATTATAAAATTGGCCAATTGATAAAATATTATTAATATTAGCCAAATTAGCCAATTAGCTATTTGTAGGAAAAAAATATCAATTTTTTGCTTTGTTTTGAGTGGGTGTTATTAGAATAGATTGGGCACAACTTAAAAAGCTTGAATCTCAGTTTTGGGATGATTTGGTGAAGTTTTGAGGTGGTTTGTCGAAGTAAAAGCTGAACATGAAAAAAAATAATATGCGTATCACACTGTGTATTATTTGTGTATCACATATGTATTATGTCTGTATCAATTATGTATCACATGTATATCCATGTATACATGTGTGATACATGTTTGATACATGTGTCACAAAAGACTTTTTTGAACTCGATTTAATTACGAATTTTGATACAAAACCAATCCAAATCACCTCCAATCTTCCTCAAATTTTGTATATTGACTTATCTATATATTTTCAATGAATTTCAACTATACCCATTGAAAAAATTCCTTTTTTGTTTAGATTTTTGGAATATTGTATAGATTTTTGTATTTCATCACCTTAATTGCTACCCCGTCTATGAAATTTCCTTTCCGTCTTGTATCTAATGTTGCTAATCACGCTTAAAAATATGGAAGGTGATTTTTGCATGTGATTCTTTGAGAGAAAGAACCCTATTATTTGGTTTTTCAATTTTTGTTGGCTAGTTTTAGTAAGTCTATGACTAATGGCTAGAGGTTGGTAAGCTGACATTTATTTGGAATATTTGTGTAAGTTTTCCAATACTATACCATAATTTTTGGGAGCTTCATACTGATTGACAGTTATTATTTTCTTTTTAGTTGGTATACACAAAATAGACACTAATGATACATGATTGTACCACGTTATATATATATATATATATATATAAAATACATTTGACGAATATTTTTAGCTTAAGTAATTGGATGGAGGACTATTTAGGTTAATTCTTCATATTCTTCATACTTTTTTATTGTTAAAGAACTTTTTGTTTTAAGAGTCCATCTCCAAAGAATCCTAAAGTTAATCTTAAACCACCTAAAATAATTGAAAAGCAAAAAATTAATAATTTTGCTTGTCCATACTATTACCTGAAATTCAAATTTTAAAGGGAGTCTGCTTTATGATCATGTTGTGCTAATTAACATGAGCAATTTTTTTTGCTTAACTTATGCTGAATGATACAAAGATTCTTTTTCTAATGTAAAAATTACATCTCGTGACTTCTATGTTCTCTATGCTTAACTTTGCTGAATGGTACAAAGATTTCGTTTTATAACTTAAGAAATTACATACCATCTCTTCTATGTTCTCTCTGCGAGTTTTTGCTTCTAAAGTTCTTATCTTATTTTCTTCGTCTCTTTCTCTGTTTTTATAGATGTTTTGCTTCTATCAAAGGTGCTCCTGCAACTATCTGCACTGTCATTTTCTTGTATATCTTTGTAAGGTAGTTAATTTTCTTTACATTTTCTTTAATATGTTTTGAATATCAAAATAATTTTTGACTATAGTTTAATCAAAAAATTAGGTTTAATATGTGTCCTTAGTCTCTAATCGCTCCTCTTGGTCTTAACTTTGGGCTTCTGTTATGTAAGTGTTTATCTTTCTGAACTTTTTCTTTCCTCAATTATACAAATTGCAATTTGTTTCCTTTGTGGATTTTGTATCACTTTCATATTAATGTCTTATATTCATTGGTTCTTGATGTTGTATCAACTTTTCTAACAAGAAGAACTTCGGGGTTCGACTGAGTTTTTATGCTGCCCAAAGTCTCCATAGCATCGCAACGCCCATCATCAGAAAAGAAGCTTAACACAAATCAAACCTGGTTTCTTTGTCTTTTGCAGTTCTATTTCGGCCAAAAAGGACATACTATTAATTTTTATATACTCCGATTTTACAAATGAGTATGCTAAAGGCGGTGAAATTTAATTTGCAATGAAGGATACAAAAATGAGGTTCTTTTGTATACTTTTTAAAGTTTACGTTGGAGAAAAAAACATTATAAAGCACATGTACTAAGATAGTAGTGAATTTATGAGAGCATGTGTCACTTTCATGTGACATCATCAACATTAATGCCTTTTTGGACGTTGAAACAAGGCTGTACTATTAGTTGGATTTACAAAAATGTACAAGTTCATTTACCGTTAAAAAAAGCAAAGTAGGGGCAAAATGAAACTCAAAAAATTGCAGCAATTCAATCTGTTACCCGTACAAGGATACAGTGGGAATTAGAAGAAATAATACTGATTTTTCAGCAAAAAGTCACGTAGACCAGACAGTGCAATACAGCTCGGCAAGGAAAGACTGCAATCCCAAATATACCCATACGCCAAGCAGGCATATTGCCGGAGAGGTGCCTGTGTTCCCTCTTCTAATAAGTAGGATTATAGTTTTCTACTACTATACTATTTACTATCATCTTATCATAATAACAGTAATTAAAAAATAATATGATATGATATATATTTATTAAATAATATATATAATATTACTTTACTTACTAGTATAGCAAGTATTTTATTTATATATTATATTATTATATATATATTACTACTATTAATAATTAATAAGAGGGAATGAGAGGAGCTTCCGGTCAATGTGAATTGACATCAAAACCAAGTCACTTCGGTCCCTGATCACACCCAACTATGCCTTATAAAAAGGACTCTGCGGACGTTGCAAATATAACCCGAGTATTATGCCCAGGGTCGAATCCACAGAGAGTTAACCTATCAACCGCTATCTTCAGACCCACTAAGTCTTCAGAACCAACTTCTCAAATATTCAAATTCTCAGTTGAGTGTTCTTTAACAACTATCTTGCAAGTAACTAATGGTTGTAACTAAATTAATAAGGTTGTAAACAATTATGAGAAAAAGCTAAGGCAATGATTTCCCCTATTGATGGAATCCCTTCTGTTTATGCTCATACAAATTTACCCACACATCTCTATCAATCATGAACGCTAATCTTACCGCAATTCTCTGCTCGAGTAATCACAGTAATCTACTATTGCACTCTCCCGAGATACACTGGCTTACTTTATTTAGCACAATTCACTTAGAATACACCCAAGGCTTCGTTATCCCTAATTCCGCCTTTAAACCCGCAATTATAGATTCCTCTAGTAATCTAGGAGTGGTGTTGTTCAACAATACCCTAAATATGCATTNGGGGGGGGAGTTATTGTCTATCGTTGGCCTCTATGGTAGAATCAGTCGGGGGACCTAAGAAGCGGTGGTTTACCCTACGCCAAATGTCAGCAGTTCGAGTCCGCTTATCTCCAGCTCGTGAACTTAGCCTATACAAAGCTTTATGATAGCACCCAATTTTTCCAGTTCGGCGATTCGATCTATGATTTATCATTCATGGACGTTGATAAGATTCATCCATTTAGCAGCACCTTAGGATGGAATAGCCTTAAAAGTGAAGGGCGAGGTTCAAACAAGGAAAGGCTTACGGTGGATACCTAGGCACCCAGAGACGAGGAAGGGCGTAGTAATCAATGAAATGCTTCAGGGAGTTGAAAATAAGCATAGATTCGGAGATTCCTGAATAGGGCAACCTTTCGAACTGCTGCTGAATCCATGGGCAGGCAAGATTTGAAACATCTTAGTAGCTAGAGGAAAAGAAAGCAAAAGCGATTTTTGTAGTAGCAGCGACCGAAATAGGAGCAGCCTAAACCGTGAAAACGGGGTTGTGGGAGAGCAATACAAGCATCGTGCTGCTAGGCGAAGTAGCCCGAATGCTGCACCCTAGATGGAGAAAGTCCAGTAGCCGAAAGCATCACTAGCTTATGCTCTGACCCGAGTAGCATGGGGCACGTGGAATCCCGTGTGAATCCGCAAGGACCACCTTGCAAGGCTAAATACTCCTAGGTGACCGATAGCAAAGTAGTACCGTGAGGGAATGGTGAAACGAACCCCCATCGGGGAGTGAAATAGAACATGAAACCGTAAGCTCCCAAGCAGTGGGAGGATCCAGGGCTCTGACTGCGTGCTTGTTGAGAATGAGCCGGCGACTCATAGGCAGTGGCTTGGTTAGGGGAACCCACCAGAGCCGTAGCGAAAGCGAGTATTCATAGGGCAATTGTCACTGCTTATGGACCCGAACCTGGGTGATCTATCCATGACCAGGATGAAGCTTGGGTAAAACCAAATGGAGGTCCGAACCGACTGATGTTGAAGAATCAGCGAATGAGTTGTGGTTAGGGGTGAAATGCTACTCGAACCCAGAGCTAGCTGGTTCTCCCTGAAATGCGTTGAGGCGCAGCAGTTGACTGGACATCTAGGGGTAAAACACTATTTTGGTGCGGGCCGCGAGAGCGGTACCAAATTGAGGCAAACTCTGAATATTAGATATGACCTCAAAATAACAAGGGTCAAGGTCGGCTAGTGAGACGATGGGGGATAAGCTTCATCGTCGATAGGGAAACAACCCGGATCACCAGCTAAGGCCCCTAAATGATCGCTTAGTGATAAAGGAGGTAGGAGTGCAGAGACAACTAGGAGGTTTGCCTAGAAGCAGCCACCCTTGAAAGAGTGCGTAATAGATCACTGATCGAGCACTCTTGCGCCGAAGATGAACGGGGCTAAGTGATCTAACGAAGCCGTGGGATGTAAAAATACATCGGTAGGGGAGCGTTCTACCTTATTGAGAAGCCTCCGCGCGATCGGTGGTGGACGAAGCGAAAGCGAGAATGTCAGCTTGAGTAACGCAAACATTGGTGAGAATCCATTGCCCCGAAAACCTAAGGGTTCCTCCGCAAGAATTATCCAAGGAGGGTGAGTCAGGGCCTAAGATCAAGCCGAAAGGCGTAGTCGATGGACAACAGGTGAATATTCCTGTA